ATTAGAGTAATTACAATATCAAAGAGTAGAAATTATATTCAGTTTTCTATACCTACCACACTGCTTCTGTTTAAAATAAGTATTCACTGTTATTATTGCTAAGGTCAGAGTCATAGTAGAAGGTTTTAGTGCTAACATATTATTTTATATTAATTGCTAACATATTACTTTATATTAATTGAAAAACTTACCCATTTAAATTGAGAATTTCAAAATCTTTGGGAAAATCAATTTTAAGAATGGATGTAGATCATGTTTTAGAAATACATGAAATCTTAACATGTGAAAGCCATTGTCCCAAGAACTGTATGATCTGCTAAAGAGAGAACTTTAGCAGCAGAACCAAGTACGATTTCACCGGATCTATTAAAAAAATAGAATTATTGTTTTTATAGGCTCACTTAAAGGAAGAATATAAAAATAATATTTTTCTTGGAATATTGTAAACATGAAGAGGTGCTATGAGTTCATTGTTTTTTCTTGCTTTCTCAGAAAAGTAGTAACACCACTTTTCCATGGGGTTCAACTAGCTGGAATGTTTGATTAGTTTAACTGTCTTCCTGAAATGCTCTTTCAGGAGAAAAACAATACAAGAAAACTAACTGGCAGAGATTTCACCACACACACACACGCACGCACACATACACACAATTTCTCCAAGATAAATCTTGGGGTTAGGAGTCATTCAGGCAAATCAAAACATGCCATCATTTAAGATGTTAATAATGTGCTATAAATGGGTGTTATTTATTTCATACATAATGGAGAGCATAAGGAAAGGTGGTATTTGCAGGAAGGCAGTAACATTCAGACTTCTAGGAGAGGTCCTTTGTCTGATGTAATCAAGACAGGAGTGGGTTGTAGACTCAAATCTATAAATATATAATAACTTGTCTCTCTTTTAATGTAAGGTGAGTTTTCTTTGAGCACATTCATTAGCTGCACTTTCAACCACATGAGTAATGCATAATCTGAGACGACCAGCTTGCTTTCTTTAAAGCCAAGCAATCTGATTTCAGTACCTGTTTGAGCTTTGATGATTCTTTTTCATCACAGTCGGGGGCAGTTTTTGCCCCAACAACCGAAATTGGTGGTAATTTTTGTTTTTCGTGACTCACCTGGATCCAGTCATTCAGCTTTCAGCTTTATATATATACTCATATTTGATTGTTTTACATGATATTTTACTTGTATTTGTAATAATAACCATGATGACAAAATGGGGTTGAAATAAAACTAACACTAAAGAGTATAGAAAGTTCTAGTAGTGGGAGTGAAAGTGGGCAGTCCCCCAAAAGGTGGCATTTATTAGGTGTAAACATGCTGATGGTGGAAAGCGGGGTCTGCCAAGCCAGTTAAGTGGAAAGTGGTTAAAGAAGTTTCTCCTGTGTGTCAATTCGTGTTGCTACTAGTATTTTTACAGAATAAGGCACTCCTCATCTTCAACGCCTAGAAAAAAAAGGTTATTTTTGAAAGTCCAGTTTGCCTCAGTTCACAAACCTATGATTTTTTTAATTGATTGATTAATTTTATTTTAGAGAGTCAGAGCATGCAGGCGGGGAGAGGGGCGGAGGGAAATAGAGAATTCCACGTAAGCTCCACCCTCGGCAAAGAGCCCAATGGGGGGGGGGAGGGGCAGCGCTCCATCCCACCACCAACCCACCCTGGGATGGGACCATGACCTGAGCAGAAATCAAGAGTTGGATGCTCAATGAGTCACCCAGGCACCCCCACAAACCTATTATTTTCCATTTACTTTTATGTAATTTTCATTGGTATGTATTTATTCTTTAGAGCCTCTAACATGTTACTGAAAAAGCAAGTTTCTTGCAATCAAATTCCTATGAAGGTTCTAAGACAACATCACTGTCCCACATGTAATTAAGTTTCATCTTCATCATAAAGTTTCCCTTAATGATTACATGTTATATTTTATGAATATCTATTACGTATTACCTATTGTGTCACCTGGGTACTAGAACCCTTCTTGGAACCATGACGTTTAAACTCACTTACTGTTTTCAGAGCAACTTCTCCTTCAATTCTTTAATCTCTTCCCCGAAGTATAGATGCTCCAGAGCTTTAAGGATCCCTCTGGGTGTCTCATTAGTGCTTTGTATAGTGCCACAGTGAATGGGGCCCGCTAGTCCTTTCCAATACCCTTGGAAAATATGATTCCATTTATTTTTACAAACCTCATCTATACTTTCCCCTGATGCTTTCAATATTTTCATAGCTACTCCCCAACTCCTATCTTTCGTTGATTTCAGAGTGTGGTTTGAGGTGGTTCTGTTGAACTTAAGCCTTTCTACTTCAACCCTGATCTTTATATTTACCTCTGGATTTGGTAGCCATAACTGCCCTGTGCCGTTCGCTTTCAGCTTTCTTTTCAAAGCAGCTTTGCTTAATTGTGAATTTGTTCCCAAAAGCTGAGGAGAACAGTGCCAGATTCTTAAGATCTGGTGCTGTAAACACTTCAGAGACTGGTCCTTCCTTGATTTGTATTTGTACTTGATTTCGTGCTGTGATTATTTTTGAGCTAGTTACAGATTGCTGGCAGGGAAACCGCGCAATCAATAGTCTTTGTTTATTGCATCTATATAACCATATGCAAATTCTACAGATGTCCTGAACTCTGAGGAAGTGGTGAAGGTCAGCCTGTCTCTGCTGACTTGCCCAACAAAGGATGTTCAGAATCCATTCTGTATACTTGCAGTATTTAAGGTCATTAGTGATTAAAGCCCATTTACAACCAATGACTTTTTGCCTATGAACTGTGACACAGGCTGCATTTTAAGTTGATTTTATATAAATACCCTAACACTTGAGAACGATAATGCACATCTTAATGTTCACTAGTGACATGGAAAATAAACTTACTCATGCTTATAATAATATTACAATTTAGTAAGTACAGTATTCAGTATTCCTGCTAACGTATCGAAGGCAAATTATTTCAGGTAAAGGCTTCTGGGAGCCTTTGGGGCCTATATTGGCTCGAAGATTACATATTCCGGATTGACTGCCCATCCTGTGACCACCTTTATATCAAGTAGGCTTTCTCAGTTCCTCTTCCATCTCAACCTCTGGGAGGAAGGTGTGTGTCAAGTGAAAGAGCGTTTTCTTTCATTATGAAAGCCCAGAACCAAGGCATATTTTTCAGCTGCGTAGAGGGTGGTTTATTCTGGCAGATGGAGGAACAGGGAAAAATCTATATAAACCTACGGATGCAAACGCATAAGCAAGCGTTTGGATCACCACCGAGAGACCAACAGAATAAAGAGCCAAGTTAAATTCCCCAGTATAGGAGAGGTCACTGCCGACCGACCTCTCCCAACGCGGAGACGCGATTTAAAGATACAGGCTCCGTCTACACAAGCGCTGGAGGAAACACACACACACACACACACACACACACACACACACACACACACGCGCGCGCGCGCGCGCGCACAAAACAAGAAAACATACAGATCTCTGAAAATGGCTTGTCATAGCCTCCGTTCGTCAATAATCTGAGAGTGACGGGAAGTCTAGCCTGTAAAACAAGCGGTAGACTTTATGTCAACCATGCGTCGTCGTTCAAAGAGAGATTTAGTTTCAATATGCACAAGGCACTCAGCACCTTCCCTGCGTGGAAAAGAGCTCCGTCACACCCGAGAGCGACTTGAAAACCCAGCCACCGCTCCAGCCCCGCGCCACGCGGTGGGGCGTCCCACGGCTCCCGGAGCCCCGCAGCCCGCCGCCCCGCCCCCAGGATCAGCCCGCCCCGAGGGCGGGGAGGACGTGGCCCCGCCCCGCCCCGCCCCGCCCCCCTCGCGTAACCCGGATACACACCCACGCTCCCCTTTCACCTCCCAGTCGTTGGCTAACGTGGAAGCGCGTCCCCCTGGCCGGCTGAGGAGCCCGGACCGCGTTGCCCTGGGCAGTTGGGCGCGCGGCCCGGCGACGGAGGGCTTCTCGGCGCGGCTCGGCCTTTCCCGGGAGGGAGCGATGGGGCGCGCGGGCGCCGGCGAGCGGACGCCGGTGTAAGACGCGCGGCGC